TTGAGTTATGATTGAGTTAATTTTCGAAAATCAACAATTTTGATGTTTAATCGATTTAGAGGTTATAAATAAAAAATGGTAATAATTGGGTTCAATCTTGTTATGGATCTAGTCTTTATCGCCCATTACTAAGGTTTTATGTATAAAAAGTTTTTCTCCATCGCTTTTAGTTTATGAGTTATGAATGAGTTAATTTTCGAAAATCAACAATTTTGACGTTTAATCGATTACAGTATGTTTACTCAACAGACCTTGCATAAAAACAACATAAATTTTATAAGGGTCCTAGATAATACCAACAGAAACCCTAAAAAATTTACATTGACAAGTATTACAGAAAAAAAAACGAACTATATATAAAAATGTTATTGTTTGTCATAACCATGCATTAATATGGTTTCCTTTTGGACCAACTATTGAGTGGGTTCTTACTGTTTATTGTTGTTGTAAGTGATAGATTGCAATAATAAACGGACAACAATTAATCAGATTTTTACCTTTCGATATTTATTGCTTCGAAACAGCGTTTACGCCGCCCACAAAGATTATTTCGGGGGAATTAACACTAATTTAACGTAACACGTTTTAACAACCATAATTTATATGAATTTGCAAAAATTATCATTAATAGAGTGGAAATTGTGTAAATTTTAATATTAAAGCGAAATTTTTTAACCTAAAAATTTGACAGTTCCCTCTAACCCATAAAAGTGAAGTTGGCTTCATTCTATTTTTACCTTTTTAAGTTATATTTTTTAATTTTTTTTAATTAAATATTCCTTTTTTGTTAATTAATAATCATTTATCGAGTAATTTTTGATAATTTTACTTTGTTATTACACCGAAAATTATTTAATTCGGTTCTTTAATAAAAGATGTCACGTCAGCTAACTTCGCAATGGTCCAAATTTATAACGAATAAAAACAACCCGATTATTTTATTAATCGAATAAATCTAATTTAAACAATTTCTCGTTCAATTAAATGAGTGTTTCGTAAAGTTGATTAAAATTGGTTTAAAACTGAACTACTTACAGTTAGTTAGCCCATCCAATAAAAGATGTCAATCTAGTAGGTTACGTCACAACTACGAGATGGCGCTCCTTCATCATTTGACGTTTAATTTTGAACCTAAAAATAGAAAATTCTTTTAATTTATTGAAATAGAGCGATTTTTTGGTTTAATATATTTATTCTAAACAATATCAACAAGTAATAGAAGATATTAATTCAATCAAAATCGTTTTAAATTAATCGAGAGGAAAAAAGATCACAACAAAGACTAGTTACTATTTTTTTTTAACTAAAATAGATTAAAACCTAGATAAAAGTTAAATAATACAATAAAATCAGATCGAATTATCACAAATTAATCTCAAAAAGCCTAAAGAATGAGTTAATAACATTTTTGGTCTCTTTATTACATTCTTTGGGTTATGATGTGAGAGGAAAGTGAAATATTCTATTTCATTAAACACCTTATTAGTTAATTAATTAATTAATTAGTTTCAGTCGGAAAAACGTTTTAAAAAATTATTGTACTTGGCTAATACTTAATTTTTTTGGAATCTCTAAAAGACAATTTTCCTATCTACACTAAAAATAACTCCAAATACATTTCTCGTCAATTTTAAGAGACTAATGTCACATTAAAGTGAGGTTATGATATATACAAAGATGTGAAACATAACCTAACTTTTTTGGAATTATTTTAAATTATTAATTTAATCGATTAAGATTCGATTAATCGGCTACTATTTGAGGCAACCCCCGAATCATCGAGGCCCCCCTCTAATCTTTCAGCCTCCTCCAACCACCTTTTAATCTCTACAGTGTACATATGTTTTTGTAAAACCTCCCTAGTTCTTCGCCTCCGCCCCACATAGCAAGTTACCCCGCCAACTCTAAAATCGCCTTTCAACAATTCTAATTGACGCTGATCGGGAATTTGCGCAACCAAAGAGCACCAATCGACAACAACTTCTTCGTGCAACATTTGCTCCTCATCTTTCTTCGACGTCCTCTTTTTGTACTGGATCCTGAAGCGGAACGCCTCCAAAACGCTGGCGACGACGATGGTTAATACGACCATTGTAAATAAGTAAAAAGTCATGAAAAAAATCCTTGAGGGTTCTCCCGAAACGTGGGCGTATCCATCCATGATGACGAACCAATTATTAACTACGGTTAATTCGAACAAGGTGATACCCGAAGTGATTAAGTCCACGAAGCTGTTTAAGTAATAATATCCGATTGTTGTGACGGCCGTTCCGTTCGAGTTGTATCGGAAGTAATCTTCAACGGTGGTGTTGACGCAACAATTGTAGAGATCTTTATCGGAGAATAATTCCATGCCAATTATTGCGAAAAAATAATACATTACCATCATTACGATAGCCGTGGACCACATCAATGGAGATAAAAGGACGAGGGTTCCGAAAATGTCTCGATAACGCTTCTTTAATTTAAATAAACGAAGAAGTCTGAAATTAATTTAAACGAATTAATTAATTAAAATATAATAGTATAATTTGTACACGACTATGATTGAAATTGATTTCAAAAAAAAATTTTTTTTAAATAAAGTTTAAACGTCATTGTGACACATACTAAATGTAACCAACTTCACAACTATTTGTCAAAATTTTATGAAACGCACGTCATAAAAGTTTAAACAAAAATTATTCTATTCACAACATTTTCGTACATTTTTCTGCCGATGTAATAAGAAATAAAACTAAAACTAGATATTTTAGGGTTATGCGTCTTCTAACCAAAATCACTTAAATAATTTTTTTTAATGAAACGTCAAAAAAATGACACTTGATAAAGACGCATAAGTGACAGCGCCATCTATCGCCAAAAGTCTAAAAATGTACGTTGGTAACTATCTTCTCATCATGTCAAACATTTTAACATAATTTAAAGCCACGAGAAAGCGAATTACTATTTAATCTTTTTTATAACGCAAAACGTGTACCAATGACTAAAACAAGCTTCTATGACGCACATTTCTTTTTAGTTTTAAATCTAAAACTGAGTGAGTTAAATAAATTTTTTTAATGAAACGTCAAAAAAATGTTATTTGAAAAAGTGAGGTTAGGTTGTGTTGGAAAAGTGTGATTAAGAATCCTCAACATCATTTTCGAATACCAACACGGCCGTTTTCGAAGACATGGGCCGCCTCCGGGCGCTAAAACTGAGTTAAATCTCTATTCGGATTTGTAAGAATGGACATTTCTTCCCCTCAGGGGGCGGCCGACGTCTTCGAAGTCAACCGAGTTTACTTTTTATAGCTGCTTCACGCGAGATGGCTTTTTATGAATCGCCAAGATTTTTAATATTAATGAAACGTCAAAAAAATGTCATTTGAAAAAGTGAGGTTGGGATGTATTGGAAAAATGAGGTTAGAAATCATCAACATAACTTTCTTGCACAGTTTTAAACCATCACGGCCGTTTTCGAAGACATCGGCCGCCCCCGGGCGTTAAAACGTGAAAATCTTGAATTAAATCTCTATTTGCGTTTGTAAGAATGGACATTTCGTGCCCTCAACTTAACCTCATTAAATAAAAAAATTAATTTTACTCATTCAGTGCGTCCTCGAAGATTTTCTTTCATATTAGCGGTTCATAACCCTAAAATTTCTAGTTTTAGTTTTATTTCTAACGCAAAATCACTTAAATAATTTTTTTAATGAAACGTCAAAAAATGACACTTGATAAAGACGCATAAGTGACAGCGCCATCTATCGCCAAAAGTCTTTTTTGTAATTCGCTACGGTAATGGAAGCTATAACAGTACTCAAACGGGTGCTGTAATGAGACTCCTTACAGCATCCGATGCTGTAATGAGATTTTAGTAACATTTTATGGAACCAGTTCAAGTTGGTGACATTGGGTCATTAATTTTTCTAGTTGTCAATGTGACAATTTTTGTCTATGGATGTTTAAAACGTTCTTAGCATCGAATACAAGGTCCAGAATGATGAGGACATTGACTCTGAGCAATTTCTCTTATTTTGGGAGGTGTACATCAAACATTTTTTTCAGGCGAATATATTTTGTGTTTTGACAGTTTCTAATTGTCAATTCAAAGTTTCTATTTTCAAGTGTTCCGGTGTTACCAACTGCTACATACCTATTTCCCTACATTGCCAAAATTTACTTTATTTTGTTAAAAAAAAAAGTATAAAAAGGCGAATTACAAAAAATAGCATAAAAAACACGTTTCATAAGAATTAAAGCACTCATTCATTAAAAAACTCGTGGCTTCGCCACTCGTTTTTCAACTTGAATTCGTGCATTTCAAGCGTGTCTTACGAAACTTGTTTTTTAATATACTATTTTATAACGTAAAACGTGTACGAGTGACTAAAACGAGCTTCTATGACGCAATTTCTTTTTAGTTTTAAATCTAAAACTGAGTGTTAAATAAATTTTTTTAATGAAACGTCAAAAAAATGTCATTTGAAAAAGTGAGGTTAGGTTGTGTTGGAAAAGTGTGATTAAGAATCTTCAACGTCATTTTCGAGTTAACTTAAAGTTAACTAAAAGTTAACTTAACTAACGGCCGTGTTAACTTAAAATTGTGTTATTTTTGTTTATCTATCTGTTCGTCCCAACCTCACTTTTCCAAGTGACATTTTTTGAAGTTCCATTAAAAAAAAAGTATTTTACTCACTCAGTGCGCTCTCGAAGATTTTCTTTTATATTAGCGATTCATAACCTTAAAATTTTTAGTTTTATTTCTAATGCAAAATCAGTTAAACCATTTTTTTATAATGAAACGTCAAAAAATGACACTTGTCAAAGACCTTAAAGACGCATAGGAGATAGCGCCATCTATCGCCAAAAGTCTAAAAATGTACGTTAGTAACTATCTTCTCATCACATCAAATATTCTAACATAATTTAAAGCCACGAGAAAGCGAATTACTATTGAATCTTTTTTGTAATTCGAGACGGTAATGAAAGCTACAACAGTACTCAAACGGGTGCTGTAATGAGACTCCTTACAGCATCCGATGCGGTAATGAGATTTTAGAAACATTTTATGGAACCAGTTCAAGTTGGTGACATTGGGTCATTAATTTTTCTAGTTTTCAATGTGACAATGTTTGTCTATGGATGTTTAAACACGTTCTTAGAATCGAATACAAGGTCTACAATGATGAGGACATTGAACTCTGAGCAATTTATCTTATTTTGGGAGGTGTACATCAAACATTTTTTCAGGTGAATATATTTTGTGTTTTGACAGTTTCTAATTGTCAATTCAAATTTCTATTTTCAAGTGTTACCAACTGCTACATACCTATTTCCCTACATTGCCAAAATTGATTTTACTTTTGAAATAAAAATAAGGATAAAACGCGAATTACAAAAATTAGCATAAAAAACACGTTTCATAAGATTTAAAGCACTCATTCATTAAAAAACTCGTGGCTTCGACACTCGCTTTTCAACTTGAATTCGTGCATTTCAAACGTGTCTTACGAAAATTGTTTTTTAATATACTATTATACTATGACATCCTGTTGACAAAAAACTATCGTTTTGACGTTCGCTAAGTACTGTGCAAAAGTCAACTTTTAATAGCAGTTTTCGAAAAAATTAAATTAAATTGACCATGGTGGATAAATCACTATGGTAACGGCATGTTAAAAACTTTAAACAAAAAATTATTCTATTCACAACCAACATTTTCGTACACTTTTCTACCGATGTAATAAGAAATAACACTAAAGGCCTGGTTACACAGTACCTCGCATCTGAGTTACTACAAAATATTTTATTTTTACTCGCTACTCGCCTTCCCCCACCACGCCACAAGCTGCAGCTCGCATACGACTCGGACGGTGTCGTGAAATGATAGTAGTTAGGTAGCTAGTAGCTCGTTGGGATCACGCAGAGTGCATTCGTGCTGCATCTGTGTTTCGAGTAGCGATTAAAAACAAAAATGGCGGATAGATGGACTTCTGAACAAAATATAAAGTTTGTGAAGTTATACAAGGACCAAACTAACTTATGGAATTGTTTGGATCCTAATTATAAAAACAGAGATTTGCGTAAAGCCTCGCTTGAACATATTCGCATGGAATTGGGTTTACAAGACACGAATAATAACCAGGAATTACTGAAAATTGAGAAAAGAAAAAAAAGTGGATGTGGCACTGATGACATCTATAAACCATCCATCAAATGGTTTGATGCCATATGAAAATAATTAATCTAAAAGAAAAACAAACAAGTCATCTGGTACAAGCTGGCTTTATATTCTCAGGGATCTTCATTATATAGTTCTTTAAATATAGTATGCGTTGCCCCTTTCCTTTGCATCCAATTCCGGACCCAAATCGTTCTGTTTTTCTTCTTTTTTTGTATAGCACTATCAGCTCGAATCATTTCAGCGCAAAGTATTTTTGTAACCGCTTTTATTTCGGTATGAACCGTGATCAGTCTGGTATTTTGCGACAACATTGCACGAGACCTAAAAGCTACTGAAAAGATGCGAGTACACACGTGCAGTAGCTGTCTAATTTCACGCCAGCAAATCGCACTTTGTGACCGGACGATGTGAGTCGAGCTGCTGTCATGCGAGTAGATAGGTGCAGTAGCTGCCCACTGTCAGGTCAGCAACTCGTATTGTGTAACCAGGCCTTAAAACTAGAAATTTTAGGGTTGGAAAAGCTAACGAGCAAATCGAGCATAAATGATTCTCTGATTGTTGAGATTCTTCGTATTCAAAATCTAAAAGTAAATAAAATAAAGGTTATTGATTGAGTAATAAATATTATAAGGATTTTGACAAATTGTTATGAAGTTGGTAACATTCAATTTGTCACATCTTTATTCAAAAATTTATTTAAAAAATTAATTTATATAGTGAAATTCAATAGTTGTGGACAAAGTATGCCTTATTAATTCACTCAGGTTAATTATGCCATAGCGAATAACTTAACCTTAGTGAATAATTTTTGCGATAGATGGCGCTATCTCCTATGCGTCTTTATCAAGTGTCATTTTTTGACGTTTCATTAAAAAAAAATTATTTAAGTGATTTTGTGTTAGAAATAAAACTAAAACTAGAAATTTTAAATTTTCTAGTTTTAGTTTTATTTCTTATTACATCGGCAGTAACGGTTGTGAAAAATGTCACTTGAAAAAGTGAGGTTAGGTTGGGTTGAAAAAGTACTTTGAAGACGTCGGCCGAGTTTACTTTTTGTGGCTGTTTCAAGCTTCTTATGAACCGCTAATATGAAAGAAAATCTTCGAGGACGCACTAATTGAGTAAAATAAATTTTTTTTTAATGAATCATCAAAAAATGTCACTTGGAAAAGTGAGATTATTTTAGCGCCCGCGATGGCCGGGGGCGGCCGATGTCTTCGAAAACGGCCGTGTTGGTACTCGGAAATGATATTGAAGATTCCTAACCTCATTCTTCCAACACAACCTAACCTCACTTTTTCAAATGACATTTTTTTGACGTTTCATTAATATTAAAAATCTTTGCGATTCATAAGAAGCCATCTCGCTTGAAACAGCTACAAAAAGTAAACTCGGCCGACTTCGAAGACGTCGGGCGCCCCCTGAGGGCACGAAATGTCCATTCTTACAAATGCGAATAGAGATTTAACTCAGTTCTAGCGCGCGGAGGCGGTCGATGTCTTTGAAAACGGCCGTGTTGGTACTCGAAAATGATGTTGAAGATTCTTAATCACACTTTTCTAACACAACCTAACCTCACTTTTTCAAATGACATTTTCTTGACGTTTCATTAAAAAAATTTATTTAACTCACTCAGTTTTAGATTTAAAACTAAAAAGAAAAATGCGTCATAGAAGCTCGTTTTACGTTATAACAAAAATTAAATAGTAACTCGCTTTCTCGTGGCTTTAAATTATGTTAGAATATTTGACATGATGAGAAGATAGTTACCAACGTACATTTTTAGACTTTTTACGACAGATGGCGCTATCTCCTATGCGTCTTTATCAAGTCTCATTTTTTGACGTTTCATTAAAGAAAATTATTTGAGTGATTTTGCGTTAGAAATAAAACTAAAACTAGAAATTTTAAGGTTATGCCGTGCGTCAAAGACAAATTTTTTTTAATGAAACGTCAAAAAATGACACTTGATGAAGACGCCTAGTAGATAGCGCCATCTATCGCCAAAAGTCTAAAAATGTACGTTGGTAACTATCTTTTTATAACGTAAAATGTGTACCAGTGACTATAAAACGAGCTGCTATGGCGCAAATTTCTCCAAATTCCTCAAATCGCTTCAACTTTGAAAGCTTATAACTCCTCAGGGGTACAATTTAGTATAGAGGTAAGTTACCTCAAATCAACTTTATTTATTGTCCTCTAAATGTCCTTGCTGTGTGTCTGTTCTTATGTGAATCACCCTGTATAAGTTATTGATATTATATGCTTGTGGCAGTGCATAAAATTCTTGTGCAATAATAAAATCAGTAAGTATACCTTGCTTTGTAAAAGCGATATTTTTTCCGATTTTGCCTTGAAACTACGCAATACAGAGTGTTTACAAAGCTTAGTTACTTTTGATGTTGTTCAAATGGCTTTCTTTTTCTTCAGTTTTTAAATGCAACACTCTGTATATTTTGTGCTAGTTGAATTGCTCATCAAGTCCCCTTTATTTAATTAATGATAAGTACCTCATATGTCTAACTTTAATAGTTTTCCTTATATTTAGAAGTTAAAGAAAAATGTGGAAAAAAATGTCATTATTGTACTTAAAAAAGTGACAGAATGTTAACTAAATATATTAAAACATCCCACCTGTCGAATACTTTGGTCAGATTTACTTGTTATGACTTCATAAGGGCTCTTTTATTCACCCCTATGATAAATTCCACCTGTGTTAATGACAGTTGCTAAGTATAGTAAACAGGAGGGATGTTTTAGTATATTTAGCAATTAGTTTTGTTGCTTACAAAGTAGAACTATATTTGGCGTGCTGTTTTCACATCAGTAAATAATTAAACTAACCTCAATGGGCGTAAAATCACAACTGCAGTTAAGGAGGGCCAAATAAGCAACAAAAAGGATCCAAAAATTCCACTCAAAGTCACTGATAAATCAAAAACGTTCCAACCGGATGAAATGTACTCGTTCCAACCCAAGGCGATTATTTTTAAAATCGCTTCGTACAAAAACACTAAAAAAAGATGAATTAATAAAATAATATTTTTGTGCTAAAAGAAACTTACGAGAAAAAAATAAATAAGTATCCCAAGAAGCCATAAAATTTCGCGCCCCATCTTCTAACGATCCCGCGTATTGCAGAACACGAATTAACATTGCCAAACCATTTCCGATTATTATAACATCTAAAAATAAAGAAATTAGTTTTATTTAAATAAATTTAATTGATTATAATTAACACTAGATCTAAAACTAGAAATTTTCGGGTAGTAAATATTTGTAATCATTATTAATTTAAAAAAATTAAAACTTATTAATTAGTTTATAACATCGTTTTGATGTGATTTAATTTTAAATTTCGCGCGAAAAAATCATTAATTGTCGGTAAAGTAGATTTCTAAATTGAGCTGTCAACAATTTTAAAATTAATTATTATTTTTAATTAATAATCGGTAAGTAAAACATAAACTTGGTTCAACTAACCTATGAAGAAGCTTTAAAAGCTTCGAATAATTATTCTTCAATCGGATCTTGTTTTAATCAAATTTAATTTTTCTTCTTTTAGGTTATATAAAATCTCGATTCGGCGTTAAATTTCGATTAAAATTATCGGAGAACTAATTTAAGGTTAAAAAACGACTTTTCACTTTTTTTAGGTTAGATTTTTTATCAAAATTTAACCGTACTCTACCGCTGATCAAATTGAACTGACTTCGTTCAACTTTTTCCTCTTCTTATATACCCTTTTCCCCCTCCCCAAAAAATTTTCTTCGTTCTATTTTTAACCCTCGCTCCTGATTGGTTGACGGGTTTCGCGCCATTTCTTCCTTTAAAATAATTTCAAATCTTTTTAAATGAAAACGCCATCTATCGGATTTTTTTCGAACTACTCAAAATGTCAAAATTTATTTTATTCATATTTCCTTTAATTCTTCATTAATTTAGATGAAACTTCGTATTTAATACAAAAATCTTTCTATTTTAACCGTCCATTGAAGGTTACAAGATCCTCCAACCACAAAAGAAGTTTAAATCTTACAAATTTTAAAGCGAATTTTTAAGGTTAAAATCGTTCAAAATCTTTCGAAATCTCATCAATTAGATGTAATTAACACTGATTTTCGCGTTTTGGATGGTTTAGAAAGGATATTAATGGTTTTAAGAGAATTATGAGTAACTAAAAATTAGCTGTCAATTGAATTGAGGTTATGTTCCCCTCTCAGGTAAAACTTGTCCTTATTATAGTATTTTTGGAGCTTTAACGTTTTTAATTAAGCCAAAAGTTTCTAGTTCTAGATCTAGTGTTAGTTCTAGTTTAATTTAATTAATTACTTACAAATAAAATGTTCGAAATAAGGATGAACCACCAAATTCCTCGCAAATCGGCATAAACACCTCAATGGGGGCCAAGCGGAGCTATACCAAGGATCCATTGGCTCCTTCATCCTCCACTTCAACGAACACGCATCGTAAATCCCAGTAAACTCCTCCAAATTCAACGTCCCCGATCCAGAAACATTCAATTTCCGAAACATTAAAATTGCGTCCCTCAAGGAAGTCCTCGGCGAATAATACCGAATTAACCCATAAAATTGTTGGAATCGAACCGAATTCGGCGCACTCTTACTGACTAATAACCGAAACGACCGTTTACAAGCGACCCTTTTATGCAACAACAACTTCCGGAACTTATCCCGCTCAATTCCGGTAAAAGTTTCATAAACAACGGCCAACATTAAATTCATCAAAACGTACAAACAAATCGAGATGTACGAAATAAAAAAGATCGAATTATATTTCGACTTGGAATAAGAAGGCATCATAACATCCGGGAAATTAGCCGTCGTTAAAAGAACGAACATACTCACAAAAGAAACGGGGAGCGATTTAAAATAAGGGTTTTTATGGTTATCGCTAAACAAAAAGTACCCCAAAACAGCGTAACTACAAACGAAAAACATTAACAACCCGAGCATATCTAAAATCGGAGGTAAAGATTGCAAAATTTGCCTAATAAATCTTCGAACGTTCCCCAAAGCTTTCGTGTCGATCAAAAAAAGCGGCCTCAACGCCCTCGTTACGCGAAAATGACTCTCGTAGCGGATTATAACGATTAAAGCCTCAAAAATCATTATTACTAAAGCGATTCCTTTTAACGCGGTTCTTTTGTGATTTAGGATCGTTTTGAAACCGGTCCAACGTAGCTTTAAAATTAACTCGATTGAAATGATACTTAAAGTAATGAGTTCTAAAGCTGAGTGAATCCCAATGGGGAGGATTAATTTCGGATTTGCCGGCTCTTCAAATAAAGCGAGCGATAACAAGATTATTGACGCTAATAAATCGAGGCCGTAATACCATGAGTTATGTACGAGTAAATAAGCCGGGAGGGCTGATGGGTGTTTCGGGTGGGAGTCGAATTTTTCGTTGTTTGCACCTTCCTGGAATTAAAAAAAAAAAATTGGTAAAAAACGGATAAGAAAAAATTTTAATTTTATTATTATATTCGTAATCTTTATAAAATAACCTTTAAAATGAGTCCAAACATGACACATTTATCTCAAAAAACAAAAAAGTTAGAATAAAAAACGTTAAACCCGAAGTTAGCAACAATGAAGATAGCAATTTAATTTTTAAATATTAATACCAACCTTAATTTCTGATTTTTTTATTATATTTTTGTTTTTGTGACAAATTTTAAAACATTTTATAAAAATTAAGAATATATCAAAATGACATTGACATTTCAAACCGGAAGTTGCTTATATCTCGAGTAATATTGGAATAAAACGTATCATGTTTGGGCTCATTTTACAGGATTTTTCACGTCGATTACAAATATGTCAAAATTGAGGTTGACATTTCTAACCGGAAGTTGACCGTAACTTCATTAATATTGAAGATAAATATGTCGTGTTTGTACTTATTTTAAAGGATTTTTAATAAAGATTATAAATATGTCAAAACTGAGGTTGACATTTTAAACCTGAAGTTAGTTATCATATAATAGAAGTTTTATAACTGAAGTTAATCTAGTGTTAGTCACTTTCTTTTTATTATTATATTCGTAATCTTCATAAAATAACCTTTAAAATGAGTCCAAACTCGACCTATCGATGTGTTATAACACCCGAGAGATCTTTGTTTTTAAAAATCAAGATGGCCGAAAACAAAACACTAATTATTTATGTCATTTATGGTTTTGAAAGTGAATTTGATGGTAGATATAGAGCGTGATATATCAAATTAGGTTAGAATTTTCCGATCTTTACAAAAATCGTGTTATTTTTTTTGTTTTTTAAATTTTATAAAATCCAAGATGGCCGAAAATAAATAATGCGCGTATATTACGGTAGATAATTAAAAAACGCGTAAAATGAGTCCAAACTTGAACTATCGATGTGTTAGAACACCCGAGATATCTTTGTTTTTAAAAATCAAGATGGCCGAAAACAAAACACTAATTATTTATGTCATTTATGGTTTAAAAAGTGAATTTGATGGTGGATATAGAGCGTGATATATCAAATTAGGTTAGAATTTTCCGATCTTTACAAAAATCGTATTATTTTTTTTTTGTTTTTTAAATTTTATAAAATCCAAGATGGCCGAAAATACATAATGCGTGTATATTAAAGTAGATAATTAAAAAACGCGTAAAATGAGTCCAAACTCGGCCTATCGATGTGTTATAACACCCGAGATATCTTTGTTTTTAAAAATCAAGATGGCCGAAAACAAAACACTAATTATTTATGTCATTTATGGTTTTGAAAATGAATTTGATGGTAGATATAGAGGGTGATATATCAAATTAGGTTAAAATTTTCCGATCTTTACGAAAATCGCATTATTTTTTTTGTTTTTAAAATTTTATAAAATCCAAGATGGTCAAAAATAAATAATGCACGTATATTACGGTAGTTAAGTAAAAAACGCGTAAAATGAGTCCAAACTCGACCTATCTATGTGTTATAACACCCGAGATATCTTTATTTTTAAAAATCAAGATGGCCGAAAACAAAACACTAATTAATTATGTCATTTATGGTTTTAAAAGTGANTTTTTCGTTGTTTGCACCTTCCTGGAATTAAAAAAAAAATTGGTAAAAAACGGATAAGAAAAAATTTTAATTTTATTATTATATTCGTAATCTTTATAAAATAACCTTTAAAATGAGTCCAAACATGACGTATTTATCTCAAAAAACAAAAAAGTTAGAATAAAAAAACGTATTGTTAAATTTTATAAAATCCAAGATGGCCGAAAATAAATAATGCGCATGTATTACGGTAGATAATTAAAAAATGCGTAAAATGAGTCCAAACTCGACCTATCTATGTGTTATAACACCCGAGATATCTTTATTTTTAAAAATCAAGATGGCCGAAAACAAAACACTAATTAATTATGTCATTTATGGTTTTCAAAATGAATTTGATGGTAGATATAGAGCGTGATATATCAAATTAGGTTAGAATTTTCCGATCTTTACAAAAATCGTATTATTTTTTTGTTTTTTAAACTTTATTAAATCCAAGATGGCCGAAAATAAATAATGCGCGTATATTACGGTAGATAATTAAAAAGCGCGTAAAATGAGTCCAAACTCAACCTATCTATGTGTTATAACACCCGAGATATCTTTGTTTTTAAAAATCATGATGGCCGAAAACAAAACACTAATTAATTATGTCATTTATGGTTTTGAAAGTGAATTTGATGGTGGATATAGAGCGTGATATATCAAATTAGGTTAGAATTTTCCGATCTTTACAAAAATCGTGTTATTTTTTTTGTTTTTAAAATTTTATAAAATCCAAGATGGCCGGAAATAAATAATGCACGTATATTACGGTAGATAATTAAAAAACGCGTAAAATGAGTCCAAACTCGATCTATTAATGTGTTATAACACTCGAGATATTTTTGTTTTTAAAAATCAAGATGGCCGAAAACAAAACACTAATTAATTATGTCATTTATGGTTTTGGAAGTGAATTTGGTGGTAGATATAGAACGTGATATATCAAATTAGGTTAGAATTTTCCGATCTTTACAAAAATCGTATTATTGTTTTTGTTTTTTAAATTTGATAAAATCCAAGATGGCCGAAAATAAATAATGTGTGTATATTACGGTAGTTAATTAAAAAACGCGTAAAATGAGTCCAAACTCGACCTATTAATGTGTTATAACACCCGAGATATCTTTGTTGTTAAAAATCAAGATGGCCGAAAACAAAACACTAATTAACTATGTCATTTATGGTTTTGAAAGTGAATTTGATGGTAGATATAGAGCGTGATATATCAAATTAGGTTAGAATTTTCCGATCTTTACAAAAATCGTATTATTTTTTTTTTTTTAAATTTTATAAAATCCAAGATGGCCGAAAATAAATAATGCGTGTATATTACGGTAGATAATTAAAAAACGCGTAAAATGAGTCCAAACTCGACCTATCGATGTCTTATAACACCCGAGATATATTTATTTTTAAAAATCAAGATGGCCGAAAACAAAACACTAATTATTTATGTCATTTATGGTTTTGAAAATGAATTTGATGGTAGATATAGAGCGTGATATATCAACTTAGGTTAGAATTTTCCGATCTTTAAGAAAATCGTATTATTTTTTTTGTTTTTTAAATTTTATAAAATCCAAGATGGCCGGAAATAAATAATGCGCGTATATTACGGTAGGTAATTAAAAAACGCGTGAAATGAGTCCAAACTCGACCTATTAATGTGTTATAACACCCGAGATAACTTTGTTTTTAAAAATCAAGATGGCCGAAAACAAAACACTAATTAATTATGTCATTTATGGTTTTGAAAGTGAATTTTATGATAGATATAAAGTGTGATATATCAAATTAGGTTAAAATTTTCCGATCTTTATAAAAATCGTGTTATTTTTTTTATTTTTTAAATTTTATAAAATCCAAGATGGCCAAAAATAAATAATGCGGGTATATTACGGTAGATAATTAAAAAACGCGTAAAATGAGTCCAAACTCGACCTATCGATGTATTATAACACCCGAGATATCTTTGTTTTTAAAAATCAAGATGGCCGAAAACAAAACAATAATTAATTATGTCATTTATGGTATTGAAAGTGAATTTGATGGTAGATATAGAACGTGATATATCAAATTAGGTTAGAATTTTCCGATCTTTACAAAAATCGTATTATTTTTTTTGTTTTTTAAATTTTATAAAATCCACGATGGCTGAAAATAAATAATGCGTGTATATTACGGTAGATAATTAAAAAGCGCGTAAAATGAGTCCAAACTCGATCTATCGATGTAGTATAACACCCGAGATATCTTTGTTTTTAAAAATCAAGATGGCCGAAAACAAAACAATAATTAATTATGTCATTTATGGTTTTGAAAGTGAATTTGATGGTAGATATAGAGCGTGATATATCAAATTAGGTTAGAATTTTCGGATCTTTACGAAAATCGTATTATTTTTTCTTGTTTTTTAAATTTTAGTATATTACGGTAGATAATTAAAAAACGCGTAAAATGAGTCCAAACTCGACCTATCTATGTGTTATAACGCCCGAGATATCTTTGTTTTTAAAAGTTAAGATGGCCGAAAACAAAACACTAATTAATTATGTCATTTATGGTTTTGAAAGTGAATTTGATGGTAGATATAGAACGTGATATATCAAATTAGGTTAAAATTTTCCGATCTTTACGAAAATCGTATTATTTTTTTTGTTTTTTAAATTTTATAAAATCCAAGATGGTCAAAAATAAATAATGTACGTATATTACGGTAGTTAAGTAAAAAACGCGTAAAATGAGTCCAAACTCGACCTATCTATGTGTTATAACGCTGAGATATCCTGGTTTTTAAAAATCAAGATGGCCGAAAACAAAACACTAATTAATTATGTCATTTATGGTTTTGAAAGTGAATTTGATGGTAGATATAAAGCGTGATATATCAAATTAGGTTAGAATTTTCCGATCTTTACAAAAATCGTATTATTTTTTTTATTTTTAAAATTTTATAAAATCCAAGATGGCCGAAAAAAATAATGTGCGTATATTACGGTAGATAATTAAAAAACGCGTAAAATGAGTCCAAACTCGACCTATCGATGTGTTATAACACCCGAGATATCTTTATTTTTAAAAATCAAGATGGCCGAAAACAAAACACTAATTATTTATGTCATTTATGGTTTAAAAAGTGAATTTGGTGGTAGATATAGAGTATGATATATCAAATTAGGTTAGAATTTTCCGATCTTTACAAAAATCGTATTATTTTTTCTTGTTTTTTAAATTTTATAAAATTTTACATTTTATGATAGATATAGGATGTGATATATGAAATTAGGTTAGAATTTTCCGATCTTCACAAAAATTGTATTATTTTTTTAATTGTCATAAATTTTTTGACAGCACGTCCGGTCGAAGGTTAATACCAACCTTAATTTCTGATTTTTTTTAATTAAATTTGTTTTTGTGACAAATTTTAAGACATTTTATAAAAATTAAGAATATATCAAAATGACATTGACATTTCAAACCGGAAGTTGCTTATATGTCAAGTAATATTGGAATTATATAATATGTCAATAATATAAAAATATTGGAATATTGAAATATGTCAAAATTGAGGTTGACATTTTACACCTGAAGTTAGTTATCATATGATAGACAAATGGACAACTTCATGGTGTTCTTTCATCATGTATTTTTTATTAAAAAGCTTTAAAATGTGTCCAAACATTGAATGTTTTTAGTTCTAGGTCTAGTGTTAGTTCTACTAAAATATTTTATTTTAAAATTGATTTTAAATTTTACCTCTAAATAAATCGCAGCTTCGTGGAAATTTAAATCCCAAGTTGTGTCCTCATCTTCTCGACTCAAACTAGAACGACTTCCCATTTCATCTAAAGCCTCTAAAATAATCATTTTTTTAAATTAATATCAAAAATTAAAAAAAAATATTTTGAGGTTATGTCACATCAATTAATTAACCCAATTTTGAACTAAAACTTTGTTAGAACTTGTTTATACCTTTCTTATCTCCTTAATTAAACAGTTTTAACAAAGAAATTTACCACTTTTTAACCAATTTTTTAGCGACAATTAAAATTATTTTATAAACACGCGATTCTAACCTTTAATCGTTTTGACATAAACGTCAAAATAGAATACGTCATTTCGAGATAAGAAAAAACGTTTTTTTGGTGGTTTGCGATTGGGAAATAACAAATTTGAGTTACTCACGTGAATTTGAACCGTACGTAACGTGCAAATCATCGGAAAATCGTTTATAACCATCATCGTCTGGAGATGAACATCTGGAAGTCGCCATTTTTAACAAAACCCATAGATGTATTCCCGAATCGTATAAATTCATCGATTTCTTTTGTACCTAAGATGATTTAAAAAAAATTAAGTTTATTAATGAGTTAATAGTGTTGTTTTGATGCGATTGAGTTATTTTGAGTTCAAAACCGGGTTAAAACGAGTATTAACCGGATTAATCTGATTTGAAAATTTAAATTTCGCGCGAAAAAATTAATAAGCGTCGGTAAAGTAGATTTCTAAATTGAAACGTCAAAATCTTGTCATAACAATATGGAACGATTTTAAAAGAAATTAATAATTTTTAATTAATAATCGAGTTAAAAACATGCTTAAATCGCAAAGGTAAAAAAGATTAACTAAAGTATTAATTCAAAGCGGGGTAAGTAAAACATAACCTAAAAAATTTGTTGGTTTAATCAAATTAATTTTAGATTAAAATGGATAAAACTCTCGAAATTTTTTATACGATACTAGGAATCTTAATTGCGATTACTTTAAGATTGGCAACTTCGTTACATTCTTATTCAGGGCAAGGAAAACCTCCAATGTTTGGCGATTACGAAGCTCAAAGACACTGGATGGAAATTACAGTTAATTTACCGGTTAAAGAATGGTACCGAAACTCCACAGATAACGATTTAATGTATTGGGGGTTAGATTACCCCCCTTTAACGGCGTATCACAGTTTTATATTTGGGGTAATTGCAAAAATGATCGATAAAGATTATGTGGAATTATTTAAAAGTAGAGGCTTTGAAAGTGAGGCTCATAAATTGTTTATGAGATACACCGTTTTAATAAGTGACCTTTTAATATTTATACCATCGGTTGTGTTATTCTTTTGGAGCGTTAAAAAGGATCTAAAAAATAAATTTGGGGTTATATTAACGTTGTTTTACCCCGGATTAATTTTAATCGATTATGGGCATTTTCAATACAACTGTGTTTCGTTGGGGTTATTAATATTTTCGGTTAGTTTTTTGATGAAAAAACGCAACGTTTTAGCCTCAATTTTTTTCTGCTTGTCTTTAAACTTTAAACAAATGGAATTGTACCATGCGTTTCCTTATTTTTTTTATTTATTGAGCCAATGCATTCCAAAACCGAATCATTCGATCCTCTCAGGTGTTTTTAATCTAATTAAAATCGCAATTGCGGTGGTTTTAACGTTCGTTTTGGTTTGGTTTCCTTTTATTTTTAGTTTAAATGATTTATTTCAAGTGATTCATCGGTTATTTCCGCTTGCCCGGGGGGTTTTTGAGGATAAGGTGTCGAATTTTTGGTGTTTTTTGAACATTTTTTATAAATTAAAAAGGTTTTGTCAAGCTGAGATGGTTCGGATTTGTACGATTACCACATTAATTGCTGTTTTGCCATCTTCTATTGATTTATTCGTACGACCTAACATTAAAAAATTCGTTCCAAGTTTAATAAACTCTTCATTATCATTCTTTTTATTTAGTTATCAAGTTCATGAAAAAACGATTTTAGTCGTTGCAACTCCTGTGTTGTTGTACTTACCGTTTAACCCCATTCCATGTTTTTGGTTATTAATAATTTCCATTTTTAGTATGTTTCCATTATTAATTAAAGATGGGTTAATTATCGCTACATTTTCTTTAACCATGATTTATTCCATTACTTTTAAATTAGTTTATTTAGAAACTAATAAAATGGGATTTTCAATTGGATTAAAAGGGTTATTAAAGGATTTCTTGGATGATAAATCAAATTTTTTCAACGTTTTATCTAAACATAAAACGTTTTTGCAACGTTTATTAACCTCTTCGTTTATAATCGTTTCGATATCCACGTTGATTTTGTTGTGCTTAATTTCGTTAATTTTTAAGCCACCAATTCATTACCCCGATTTATTCCCTTTATTAATCTCGACGTTTTCTTGCTTACACTTTATAGGGTTTTACGTTTATTTCAATTGGATCCAACTTAGAATACCACAGAGTTTTGATGATATTAAGTTAAAAAGTTTGTAAATAAACCTAAAAATTTTTTTTGAGGTTATGTTTTCTTATTTTTGTAAAAAACTGAGTTACCTTAAACGCATTTATTAAAAATAAAGTTATTATTATTTTATTTATGTCTCATCATTTCAAAAAATGATTATATTTGCTTAAATTCTCGAAAATCGCAATAAATTTGAGGAAAAATTAAATGATAGGTTAGGAAAATTAAAGGAAACTACTTTACCTACTAACGCCGATAAAGCAGATTTCTAAATTTCAAAATAACTTTAAAATATTATTATAAAAACAATAAATTAAAATTAGTGCAAAATTAGAACTAACACTATACCTAGAACTAGAATCATTCGGGTTTAGCCGTCTTAAGAGACGTGCGGCTAAATCCAAATGATTCTAGTTCTAGGTGTAGTGTTAGTTCTGCTGAATGACATATTAAAGATTAAATTACTATTTTCTTACAATTTGACACTCTTAATGACTTACTTTCTGCTACTAATTGACGTTCTAACTGTCAAATTTGATCATTTTGCATCACAAAAAAATTTTAACGTCAAAAGTGACGTTTGAATGACATATTAAAGATTAAATTACAATTTGACATTCTCAATGACATATTAATCTCAATTTTTGCTACCAATTGACGTTCTAACTGTAAAATTTGATTATTTTACATCACAGGAAGATTTTAATGTCAAAAGTGACATCTAAATGACATATTTACCTTACTTTCTGTTACCAATTGACGTTTTAACTGTCAAATTTGATCATTTTGCGTCATAAGAAAATTTTAACGTAAAAAGTGACATTTGAATGACATATTAAAGACAAAATTGACAGTTTGACATTCTAAATGACATATTTAGCTTATTATCTGCTAGCAGTTGACATTCTAACTGTCAAAAGTGACGTTTGAATGACATATTAAGTATTAAATTAAAATTTTCTTGCAATTTGACTTTTTTAATGACACATCAACCTCAATCTTTGCTATCAATTGACGTTCTAACTGTAAAATTTGATTATTTTACATTACAGGACGATTTTAAAGTCAAAAGTGACATTTTAATGACATATTTACCTTACTTTCTGTTACCAATTGACGTTCTAACTGTCAAATTTGATCATTTTGCACCACAAGAAAATTTTAACGTAAAAAGTGATATTTGAATGACATATTAAAGACAAAATTGACAGTTTGACATTCTAAATGACATATTTTGCTTATTTTCTGCTACCAGTTGACATTCTAACTGTCAAAAGTGACGTTTGGATGACATATTAAACATTAAATTCAAATTTTCCTGCAATTTGACATTTTTAATGACACATCAACCTCAATCTTTGCTATCAATTGACGTTCTAACTGTAAAATTTGATTATTTTACATTACAGGAAGATTTTAAAGTCAAAAGTGACATTTAAATGACATATTTACCTTACTTTCTGTTACCAATTGACGTTCTAACTGTCAAATTTGATCATTTTGCATCACAAGAAAATTTTAACGTAAAAAGTGACATTTGAATGACATATTAAAGACAAAATTGACAGTTTGACATTCTAAATGACATATTTAGCTTATTATCTGCTAGCAGTTGACATTCTAACTGTCAAAAGTGACGTTTGAATGACATATTAAGGATTAAATTAAAATTTTCTTGCAATTTGACTTTTTTAATGACACATCAACCTCAATCTTTGCTACCGATTGACGTTCTAACTGTAAAATTTGATTATTTTGCATCACAGGAAGATTTTAAAGTTAAAAGTGACATCTAAATGATAGTTTAAAAACAAAATTGACAATTTGACATTCTAAATGACATATTTACCTTACTTTCTGCTACCAATTGACGTTCTAACTGTCAAAAGTGACGTTTGAATGACATATTAAAGATTAAATTAAAATTTTCTTGCAATTTGACATTTTTAATGACACATCAACCTCAATCTTTGCTACCAATTGACGTTCTAACTGTAAAATTTGATTATTTTACATCACAGAAAGATTTTAAAGTCAAAAGTGACATTTAAATCACAGTTTAAAGACAAAATTGACAGTTTGACATTCTAAATGACATATTTACCTTACTTTCTGTCACCAATTGACGTTCTAACTGTCAAATTTGATCATTTTGCATCACAAGAAAAGTTTAACGTCAAAAGTGACATTGGAATGGCATATTAAAGACAAAATTGACAGTTTGACATTCTAAATGACATATTTAGCTTATTATCTGCTACCAGTTGGCAACATTCTAACTGTCAAAAGTGACGTTTGAATGACATATTAAAGATTCAATTGAAATTTACTTGCAATTTGACATTTTTAATGACATATCAACCTCAATTTTTGCTACCAATTGATGTTCTAACTATAAAATTTGATTATTTTACATCACAGGAAGATTTTAATATCAAAAGTGTTGTCTAAAATGATACCTTAAAGGCAAAATTGACAATTTGATATTCTAAATGACATATTTATCTTATTTTTTGCTACCAATTGACATTCTAACAGTCAAATATGATCATTTTGCACCACAAAAAAATTTAAACGTCAAAAGTGACATTTGAATGACATATTAAAGATTAAATTACAATATTCTTACAATTTGACATTCTTAATGACATATCAACCTTAATTTTTGCTACCAATTGACGTTCTAACTGTAAAATTTGATTATTTTACATCACACGTTGATTTTAATGTCAAAAGTGATATTTTAGTTATATTTTCTTATTTTTGTTACCTTAAACGCATTTATTAAAAATAAAGTTATTATTATTTTATTTATGTCTCATCATTCCAAAAAAAGGATATTATTCGCTTAAATTCACGAAAATCTCAATTAATTTGAGGAATTAAATGATAGGTTAGGAAAATTAAAAGAAACTACTTTACCGACCCAACGTCGATAAAGCAGATTTCTGGACATAAATGCAATAAAAATAACATTCAAAAATTATATTACAAAAACAACAATAAATTAAAATTATTTAGTTAATTTTTATGCAATTTCATACCCTAAAACGCTCTCTACGCTTCCTAACGCGTCTTAAGAGAAGTACTGCTAAACCCGAATGAGTTTAAAACTAACACTAGACCTAGAACTAGAAAGTGTTAGTTGTAGTTTTAGTTGTTATTAAGCGCTAGATTGTTGTATATTTTTTCCTTATTTTCTGCTACCAATTGACATTTTAAATGTCAAATTTGATCATTTCGAATCACAAGAAAATTTTAACGTCAAAAGTGACATTTGAATGACATATTAAAGATTAAATTACAATATTTTTACAATTTGACATATCAAACTTAATTTTTGCTACCAATTGACGTTCTAACTGTAAAATTTGATTATTTTACATCACACGTTGATTTTAATGTCGAAAGTAATATTTTAGTTATGTTTTTTTATTAGTTTTGTTATCTTAAACGCATTTATTAAAAATAAAGTTATTATTATTTTATTTATGTCTCACCATTCAAAAAAAAACGATTATATTCGTTTAAATTCACGAAAATCTCAATTAATTTGAGGAATCAAATGATAGGTTAGGAAAAATTAAAGGAAACTACTTTACCGAACCAACGTCGATAAAGCAGATTTCTGGATTTAAATACAATAAAAATAACCTTAGAAATTTGTATTATAAAAACAACAATAAATTAAAATTACTTACTTAATTATTTTATCCAATTTCATACCCTAAAACGCTCTCTAAATTATACCCAAACATTTTAAAATCGGCCTCGTACATCCGATACAAATCGCGTATTTCCTCCAAAGACAACGTTGCGAAATACGTGCGAAGATGATCCCCGGTGTGACTTGATCGCGTTTGAGGGAATTGAAGAACATTGGGGGCTCCAATCATTGATAGGACAACTTTGGAATCGTCTTCAAATCGCTCGTATTTCCCGATAAACGTGTAATTAACGTTACATGGGAAACAAAGTTGATTAACCGACTTCCAATGTTCGTTCATATCGGCCCCGGAACCTTCTTTTAATAGGTAACGAACGAATTCTTTGAAGGTTACGTTATCTCCCGCGTCTAAATCGCGTTGTGATGGGTTTTTCCGGTAACTTTTAATTATATATTTCCCAATTCTCGCCTAAAATAACACAAACATTTAAATTTGGTGATTTTTTTAGGTTAAAAAAGGCTACCTAACCTGGAAATACCTCGCGCTTAAAGAATCCCCAACTAATTTATTCCGATACGCCGATAATAACCTCTCAAAAGGGTGTCTAACCATCAAAAAGGTGGTATAATCATTTAAAATTTGCAAAGAATCTTTTTTGGGGAGACTTGAAAGCTTTAATAAGCTTTTTTCGTTGTGGGCTAAATCAGCTGGGATGCTCATTAAATCGGTGACGTTCGTTTTTTCGGTTAAAACCATAAAAACGCGTTTCCAATTCGTGCAAGCGACTTTTGGGACGTAACAATACAAAAATTTATGTTTGTGGTCCACTAATAAATGATCTAATGAATTTAAATCGAAATTTGTGGTGTTTTTTAATGATTTACAACCTTTGGAAAGCTCTTCTTGGCGCAAAACTTGATCTAACCATAAAAAACTTGTTGTATGTTGGATTAAAAGTAAATTAATAAATAAAACGATTTTATCCAACATCTTTAACACCTCGTTTTCTTTCGCAATTTTTTAACAAACTCGATTTCGGATTTATTTCGAATTCCGTAAACGGAAACATACTCTCGATCGTCCGATAAAACGTTACCGGAACATTTTAAATCGTAAGTTTTCCAAATATAGGACCAAGAAATCTTCGTTTTACTCCGTAAACGTTGTTGCCTTAACCAAAATGTGCGTTGGATCGTTTTTTTTAGGTCTCGAACTGTGGTTGAGTTTTGAGGGATCTAAAAATTAAAAAAAATGTTATTTAAAGTTAATATTTCTAAAAAAAAATAACCTTTATGCTTGAACTATTTATTGATGTGTGATTTAAAGTTGCGCAAAACTTTAATTGAGTCAATAAAGATTATCTAAAGATTGATTTGGATTTTTTGCATGTAAATGATAAGTTATCAAAACTTGAAAATATTTCCACTTAATCGAATTATTAGATTTAGAAGTAAACATAACCTAAAAATAAATCTTACCACTATAGGAAGGGGGCTCTCTGTATTCCTTAACAAAGTAACGGTAATACTTTGTCCCTGAGCGACAGCAATTTGCGCCAAAACCTCCTCGGTGGTTACATCCGTGGGTAAATCGCTTAATAAAGAGTCGGAAGCCAATAACCTCCTGAGGGAGCTTTGAGTCACCTCGAGTAATTCTTCGTGGCTGAGAGCGTCCAATTCCGCGCGTAAATTAGCTTCTTCACTCATCCTGAAAAACGCGGCGATTACGCAGGGTTAAAAGGTCAATTTAATACGAGTCTCGGAATGTAAAATAAAGAAAATAAAAATCGAGGTTATGAAGGTAAAAAAACACAAAATGGACGCCGATTGTTGACATTGTTATCATTTTTTTTTATCACCGCCATCTATGAGGGGTGAAATAAATTTAATTATATATTTAAATTATTTTATAATTATTAATAATAATCAATTTTTTTTGTTTATACTTACCATTTATGATCCTTGAAATACACCAATTAAAACGAACGTAACGGTAAGATAAATTAAACTAAAACGGGTTTATAACGATACGTGTGACGTCAGCGTTAAAACGAACGTTAAAATAATTGTTATCGTTGGCGAATTTATAAACAATATGCAACTTGGTGATTAATTACACGTTTTCTTTGAAAACTACTTTTAAACGTCCTCGAGATCAACCGCCATCTAAGAAAGTATTCGCGATTTAATTTTATTTAAATTCAAGTAGCGCCATCTAACGAAAATTTCTCACAATTTTAGTTTGACGTTACAAATATAGATGGATTCTTGCGGTTTTCTTGGTTGTTGGAGCGTTAAAATCTCTTTCTGCGTGCAGAAACAGTTATATACGGATGTTACAGTTAGTTCTTGGCGGAAATAATAAATTCGTTTAAAAAGAACGCATTTGCGAATAAAAAGAAACTTTTTTACGTAACTCAAAGTGAAAGTGATTTTTTTATAAAAGTAGGCGTTGGTTTTAAGTTTTAACAAAAGAAGCATTAACGTCAACGAAACCAGAATGTAAGTTAAGTTATAATTTAAATTAATAAAATCAAAATTGATTTATTCCTTTTTTAGAAATCAAAATGAAATCGATTTTATTTCCGGTGTTAATTTCAATGATGGTTTTAGAAACGTTAAGTAAAGATATGTTAAGGAAAAGTATCGTTTTTGACAAACACACCCCCGACGTTTTTTATTGTCCATTAGAAAAACCAACGGGATTCGATAAATTAATCGTTAGGTAAGTTTTGAAGGTAAACATGTCTATATTAAGTCATTAAAATGACATCACCTTTCTAAAAATACTTAACCTTAAAAAAATTTAAAATAAGTGTCAAAAATGACATTTAACCTAAAAAAAATTTTTTAGGGCACGTCCATTAAAAAAGTTGTGCGAATTTGAAGGAAAACCACTTCCAGAAGACTACAAAAGTGATTGTTACAAAGATATAGATGAATCTGATTTTGCATGTAAAGAGAAATATCGTATAATGGTAATTGTATGAGTTATCGTTTAAATAAGCTTTTAACGATTTTATTTAATTAAGTGTTGTGGGTAGGTTAATTTAATTTTTTAATGAATCAATTTTGTTTTGCAGAAAAGCATACACAAAGACAAAAAATTAACAAAGAGCGAAAAAGGAAGCCATAGCTAAAGAAATGTTCACGTTTATGTACAGATTAATTAAATTTATAAAGAAACACGCTGCCGAGCCAAAATAATCAACTCCTATTTAATTAATTAATTCGCCTTTTTGTAACCAGATTAACTTATTTTAATTTATTAATAACTTTATCCCTCTCAAAGCTTTTAAAAAAAGCTTCAAATAAACTGTTAAGTTTATAATGGTGGTGGTTAACTTTAATTAATTAATTAATTATTTAATTTATTTATTTTTTAATTTAAAATGCACGTTTTTGTCTTCGTTCTTTTATTTACTTCATTTGAAACCCTTTTTTTATAAAAAAAAAAGATTTCTTTTTATTTTTTAATTTCCTTTAGTTAATTAATTTTTGATTCATTTGATTTTTGGCAAAAAACGTGTTTTCAAAACGGGTAATTATTAATATTTTTTTAATTATTATAAATGATTGTACAAAAAAAATACTTTTATTAATTCATTGTTGACTTTTTAGATGAGATTGCAACCGCCTGGTTCTGAAACGCCCTATGATGGTCAAAGATTGAAACGATTCTTGGAAACCGACATGGATTATGTTAGGAAATTAATGGGGAAAGATCGAAAATTGAAAAATCGTCTTTAAATTAATTCCATAAAAAAAATGAATATGAAAAAAAGAAAAATGTGGTACTAAAAATGGAGTGATAATCTTGTTAAAAACGTTGGAACATATAAAAAATCTATTTAATAAACTAATTTATTAACAAATTTAGTTTTTTTTATTTAGTCCTTTTTAGGTTGGTACTTTTTTCATCAATTAATTGAAAAGAATCATTTCACATTCTAAAGTTGGCACCAACAACCTTAAAAATGACATTTCCTATTGTCAAGTTGACGTCTTGAACCTCAAAATGACATTTTATAACTCAACAAAAAGAAAATCATTAATAATTAATTCTGAAGTCCTAAAAAAGCTTCAAAATTGCATGTTATATTCTCATATTGATGCGTAAACATCAAATTGACATTTCTATTAATCAAAATGACATATTCTACCCTGAATTTGACACTTTCTGTTGTGAAATTGACACCTACAACTTCAAAATGTCATTATCGCCCTTGACGTTGATGGTTTTAACCTCAAAATGATATTTATTACTCTTAAAATGACATTATTAAGTTCAAAACGTCATTTTTTATTTACAAAATGGCGAGGTTGACGTTTTAAACTGTACGATGACTCAGCATTTTTGACAATGACAATTTTGACTTCAAAATGGCGGTTCTTTTTCATAAAACGTCATTTTCTAGCGTCAAATTGACATTTTGAACGTCAAAAAGATATTCGGTATACTCATGGACTTTAAAACGACATTAATTACCGTAAAGTTGACTTTTTTAACTTCAAAATGACATCGTCATTTTTGACATTGACGTTTTAAACATTAAAATGACATTTCTTATTCTCAAGGTCACTTCATGAACCTCAAAATAATATTTTTTCTAATCAAGTTGACATTTTCAACTTTTCCTACTTTTAAAACGTCATTATAAACTTTAAAACGACATTTTTTATTATGAAGTTAACATCTTAAACTTTAAAATGACATTGTCATATTTGACATTGACGTTTTAAACATCAAAATGACATTTCTTATTCTCAAACAAACTTCATGAACCTCAAAATAACATTTCTTCTAATCAAGTTGACATNTTGACGTTTTAAACTGTACGATGACTCAGCATTTTTGACAATGACAATTTTGACTTCAAAATGGCGGTTCTTTTTCATAAAACGTCATTTTCTAGTATCAAATTGACATTTTGAACTTCAAAAAGATACTCATTGACTTTTTTAACTTCAGAATGACATCGTCATATTTGACATTGACGTTTAAACATCAAAATGACATTTCTTATTCTCAAGGTCACTTCATGAACCTGAAAATAATATTTTTTCTAATCAAGTTGACATTTTCAACTTTTCCTATTTTTAAAACGTCATTATAAACTTTAAAACGACAGTTTTTATCATGAAGTTGACATCTTAAACTTTAAAATGACATTGTCATATTTGACATTGACGTTTTAAGCATCAAAATGACATTTCTTATTCTCAAGGTCACTTCATGAACCTCAAAATACCATTCTTTCTAATCAAGTTGACATTTTCAACTCCAAAATGACACTTCCTATTATGAAGTTGTCATCTTCAACTTCAAAATGATGTGAAATTGTTGTTTTAAACTTTAAAATGATATTTCCTACTTTTAAAATGTCATTATCAACCTTAAAACGACATTTTTTATTATGAAGTTGACACCTTAAACTTTAAAATGATATTGTCATATTTGACATTGACGTTTTAAACATCCAAATGACATTTCTTATTCTCAAGGTCACTTCATGAACCTCAAAATAAAATTTTTTCTAATCAAGTTGACATTTTCAACTCCAAAATGACATTTCCTATTATGAAGTTGTCATCTTAAACTTCAAAATGATGTGAAATTGTTGTTTTAAACTTTAAAATGATATTTCCTACTTTTAAAACGTCATTATCAACTTTAAAACGACATTTTTATTATGAAGTTGACATCTTAAACTTTAAAATGACATTGTCATATTTGACATTGACGTTTTAAACATCCAAATGACATTTCTTATTCTCAAGGTCACTTCATGAACCTCAAAATAACATTTTTTCTAATCAAGTTGACATTTTCAACTCCAAAATGACATTTCCTATTATGAAGTTGTCATCTTAAACTTCAAAATGATGTGAAATTGTTGTTTTAAACTTTAAAATGATATTTCCTACTTTTAAAACGTCATTATCAACTTTAAAACGACATTTTTTATTATGAAGTTGACATCTTAAACTTTAAAATGACATTGTCATATTTGACATTGACGTTTTAAGCATAAAAATGACACTTCTTATTCTCAAACAAACTTCATGAACCTCAAAATAACATTTTTTCTAATCAAGTTGACATTTTCAACTCCAAAATGACACTTCCTATTATGAAGTTGTCATCTGCAACTTCAAAATGATGTGAAATTGTTGTTTTAAACTTTAAAATTATATTTTCTACTTTTAAAACGTCATTATCAACTTTAAAACGACATTTTTTATTATGAAGTTGACATCTTAAACTTTAAAATGACATTGTCATATTTGACATTAAACATCAAAATGACATTTCTTATTCTCAAGGTCACTTCATGAACTCACTTCATGAACCTCAAAATAACATTTCTTCTAATCAAGTTGACATTTTCAACTCCAAAATGACATTTCCTATTATGAAGTTGTCATCTTAAACTTCAAAATGATGTGAAATTGTTGTTTTAAACTTTAAAATGATATTTCCTTCTTTTAAAACGTCATTATCAACTTTAAAACAACATTTTTATTATGAAGTTGACATCCTAAACTTTAAAATGATATTGTCATATTTGACATTGACGTTTTAAACATCAAAATGACATTTCTTATTCTCAAGGTCACTTCATGAACCTCAAAATAAAATTTTTTGTAATCAAGTTGACATTTTCAACTCCAAAATGATATTTCCCGTTATGAAGTTGTTATCTTAAACTTCAAAATGATGTGAAATTGTTGTTTTAAACTTTAAAGTGATATTTCCAATTTTTAAAACGTCATTATCAACTTTAAAACGACATTTTTATTATGAAGTTGACATCTTAAACTTTAAAATGATATTCTCACATTTGACATTGACGTTTTAAGCATCAAAATGACATTTCTAATTCTCAAGGTCACTTCATGAACCTCAAAATAACATTTTTTCTAATCAAGTTGACATTTTCAACTCCAAAATGACATTTCCTATTATGAAGTTGTCATCTTAAACTTCAAAATGATACGAAATTGCTGTTTTAAACTTTAAAATGATATTTCCTACTTTTAAAATGTCATTATCAACTTTAAAACGATATTTTTTATTATGAAGTTGACATCTTAAACTTTAAAATGACATTGTCATATTTGACATTGACGTTTTAAGCATCAAAATGACATTTCTTATTCTCAAGGTGACTTCATGAACCTCAAAATAACATTTTTTCTAATCAAGTTGACATTTTCAACTCCAAAATGACATTTTCTATTATGAAGTTGTCATCTTAAACTTCAAAATGGTGTGAAATTGTTGTTTTAAACTTTAAAATTATATTTTCTACTTTTAAAACGTCATTATCAACTTTAAAACGACATTTTTTATTATGAAGTTAACATCTTAAACTTTAAAATGACATTGTCATATTTGACATTCGTTTTAAACATCAAAATGACATTTCTTATTCTCAAGGTCACTTCATGAACCTCAAAATAACATTTTTTCTAATCAAGTTGACATTTTCAACTCCAAAATGACATTTCCTATTATGAAGTTGTCATCTTAAACTTCAAAATGATATGAAATTATTTTAAACTTTAAAATAATATTTCCAACTTTTAAAACGTCATTATCAACTTTAAAACGGCATTTTTTATTATGAAGTTGACATCTTAAACTTTAAAATGACATTGTCATATTTGACATTCACGTTTTAAACATCAAAATGACATTTCTTATTCTCAAGGTAACTTCATGAACCTCAAAACAACATTTTTTCTAATCAAATTAACATTTTCAACTCCAAAATGACATTTCCTATTATGAAGTTGTCATCTTAAACTTCAAAATGATGTGAAATTGTTGTTTTAAACTTTAAAGTGATATTTCCTACTTTTAAAACGTCATTATCAACTTTAAAACGACATTTTTATTATGAAGTTGACATCTTAAACTTTGAAATGACATTGTCATATTTGACATTGACGTTTTAAGCATCAAAATGACATTTCTTATTCTCAAGGTCACTTCATGAACCTCAAAATAACATTTTTTCTAATCAAGTTGACATTTTCAACTCCAAAATGACATTTCCTATTATGAAGTTGTCATCTTAAACTTCAAAATGATGTGAAATTGTTGTTTTAAACATTAAAATGATATTTCCTAAAATGACATTCATTGAAGTTCATGTTCTAATTTATTATTGTGAAGTTGACATTTTATTAAATGCAGAATTTTTTAGTTTGACATCTAAACTGTCACAATGGTATAAATGACATTTTAAATTTGAAGTTGACATTTCGTCAAACTTCACTGCAAAGCTTGTAACTTTGAGATAAACTCCAAAATGGCATAAATGACATCTATTAAAGCAATAATATTTTCTAGCATGAAGTTGACATTTTATTAAACTTCAAAATAAAATGTTTTACCTTGTAAATGACAACTTAATCTTCAAAATGACGTTTTAAAGCTCTATTTGATATCTCGAATTAAAAAAAAATGAGGTTAAATGAAAAAAATTGAAGTTTAAAACTTCAAATATAATTTTAGATGTAATTTTTAAAATTCATTGTCAAGAAAATGAAATTTCACGAATTTTAATACCAAACACGCCTAGGTCGGAATTAAATACGACGAAGATACCATTTTTTAAAAAGATAAACAAAAGAAAAAAATGAAACAATAGACAATCGCTATCTAAAAAAAATTAGTTAAAACGCTCTAATTTTAAAACGGTTAAAGATAAATAGGTCGTGTTTGGTATCAAATTACGCGTTACACAATTTCCTATCGAATTAAACCAAAATAAACACTCCAATCCGTATTTATTTTTAAAACGATTTAATTTTCGGTTCAAATTAAAGGTTAAAAACGTTTCGTAACATCACACCTAATTAAAAAAAGCAAAAAATTCAAAATCATTAAAGTAAACATTTACGTTATCGCTTATCACGGTTATTAAGCGTGTTTAGGTTAAATATTTAACTCAATTTACGAACAACAATCGCCGTTGTAGTATAAATACAGCGAAGATCATCCGAGAAACACTTAGATTTAAAACATTTCGAAAAAATGAACCAAAATAGTAATTGTAAAGAATTTAAAAGCATCGATGATATACTTGAAAAATTAGAAAAAGACGATTTAGATGTGCTAAAAAAAGTTTTATACGGTACCAACGTTTCAACACTAAATCTAAACGTAAAAAGTGATGAAAACATCGAAATTAAAAGTTTTCGATTTTCCGCGGAAAAGGAAGAATTAAGAAACCCAAAAATCGTTCGGGTCGGATTATTCCAACATCGAATTCCTTTAGAAACATGGGCCTCGATACAAAAACATCGAGAAGCTTTACAAGAATTAGCAAAAAAAGCTATTCATTTAGCAGCCGAGGGAGGAGTTAATATTTTTTGTTTCCAAGAGGCTTGGAGTAAATAAACCCAAAATTAAATTATTAAATCATTTAATAACCATTTTTAGACATGCCCTTTGCTTTTTGCACGCGGGAAAAATCGCCTTGGTGTGAATACGCGGAAGATGCAAAAAATGGAGTGACAACGAAATTTTTATCGGAATTGGCCAAACAATTTAACATGGTTATTATATCACCGATTTTAGAGCGAGATGAGATCCACGGAGATACAATTTGGAACACAGCCGTGGTTATTGATAATCATGGTGATTATTTGGGGAAACATCGCAAAAATCATATCCCGAGGGTTGGGGATTTTAATGAGTCGAGTTATTATTTCGAAGGAAATACGGGACACCCTGTATTTCAGGTGATTATTTCAAATTGTTTAATTTTTTATTCCCCTTTAATTTTTTAGACAGAATTTGGCCGAATTGCTATTAATATCTGTTATGGGAGACACCACCCCCTCAATTGGATCATGTTCGGGTTAAACGGAGCGGAAATAGTTTTTAACCCCTCAGCAACTGTAATTAATTAAAATGGATTAAAATTAATAAATTAAATAATTAATTTTCGTTTAGGTGGGGGATTTGAGCGAACCTATGTGGGGGGTTGAAGCTAGATGTGCTGCGATAGCCAATAGTTACTTTACTTGTGCCATAAATCGGGTTGGAACGGAAACTTTTCGGAATGAATTCACCTCAGGGAATGGAAAAGCAGCACATAAAGATTTCGGGCATTTTTATGGAAGCAGTTACGTTGCGAGCCCAGATGGAAGCAGATCACCGGTGAAAAAATAACTAACTAAAACTAAAAAAAAAAATAATTAATTAATTTTATTTAATTAGGGGCTATCAAGAACCGAAAACGGCCTATTAATATGCGAATTAGATTTGAATTTGACCCGCCAAGTACGAGATCAATGGTCTTTTCAGATGACTCAACGGCTCGATTTGTACGCGGAAAGCTTCAAGAAAGTACTGAACCACGATTACGAACCGCAAATAATAAAGAAATCATAATTTTAGGCTTAAAATTTAATTATTAAATACTTAACCTCAATAATCAACACTTATTTTAGGTTAATTTCGTTACCAACAACACAAAAAAAATTGTCCCCAAACGTCAAATAAAAATTATCTTAAACTTCAAAATAATAAGAAATTGTTGTTTATTATTATTATTGTACTAATTTATTAACAAATTTAGTTTCTTTTTTATTTACGCTTTTTAGGTTAGTACTTTTTTTCATCAATTAATTGAAAAGAATCATTTCATATTCTCAAGTTGGCATCAACAACCTTAAAAATGACATTTTCTACTATCAAGTTGACGTTTTGAACCCATAGACATAAAGAATGACAAATAGACAAAAATGTTACCTTTAACATTGACATTTCCTATTGTTAAATTGACATCTTAACGTCAAAATGACATTTTATAACTCAACAAAATTAAATTTGTATTTTCAAATTAATATTAACAATTTCAAAGTGACATGTCATATTTTCATATTGATGTGTAAACATCAAATTGACATTTCTATTAAGGGAGTAGAACACTGTTACGGACTAAAAAATATAGTTTCTTATGGATTTTTTTAAAGAAAAACAACTTGATATAACAGATATCTGTTATATTACATATGAAGAATGATTGTCGAAATTTCGCTATACAAAAAAAAAAGAAATAAGTATAGACCTGTTTGATCAAATGAAAAACGGCTACGTACAGTTGAAGACAAACGGTTTTTCTACAAAATGAAACTTTGTTCATATCAATTTAATGGTTAGATTTTTTGATTAACTGTCAATGAGGTCGAAAAAAGGTGTTTAAAAAATAGATTCACTTATTGCTATTCAGCAATTCCTGGACCATATAAAAGTTCCTCAACGTCCATAATTATATTTTGAACGTCATAACGGTCACGCATACGACCTTCATAGGTATTTCGTCGCGTCTGTTGTTCGGCTTTCTTCACGTGCTCTTTATCAATATCATGGCAATAATCATAAACAGTTTGGCCAATCTCAACTCCTAATTGATCTAAGACACCCAGTAGAGCGACATACCCATCATTGAATAATATTGTGCCCAGATTTGCAGCAATTTTGACAATTGTTGTGCCGCTAAATGATGATTTTGGTGCAAACTTCCAAATAATATCATTTAAGCGTTCATTATTGTTCTGATGAAACACCTGATTAAAAGGCCGTCTCTACTCATATCTTGATATATTGGCTGGATGGATGTTGCAACTTCAGCGGACATGGCAGGCTTATGTTTATAATTATTTAAATTTGTAGAGCATTTATGTAAGATAGTTGCCCAAATACTTTTCTTCATATTTTCTACAGAATTTGCATTTCTGCGTATTGCTAAACCATAATATGTCGTGACCTCTTTTATAAGGTTTGCAGTTACTTTACCTTTACTTCCTAAGCACTTTGCAGATTTTTTGCAATTTCGTAATCTTGTTCCCATACGTTCTTGTACGAGTTTTACGCATTCTTTTTTTACAATATCTGGTGAAATCTTTGGTCATACGTTTTTGAATCGCCATCACCAATATAATTTATATATTTCTTTTTATGCAATTCTTCAGCTCTTGAAAAAATTTCTATCATTGCATCGGGTTCCATTTTACCTGCGGAGCCCGTGTGATTAATGTCACATTCCTTCTCATGGTCTTCCAGCAATATTTGATACTCTGATATATGTGGTTTATTTTTCCACAAAGCACATGCCTTACAATATCCTGACTTGACGCAAATATCATGCATTTTCTTAGAGTAGTTTTCTATGACTGTTACGGTATGTTTAGGATTATTTTTATAATGTAACGATAGGATATAACACCCTATATCTTTGTTATTTTTTCGAATTTCTTGCTAAAAATTTAAACAGACAATCTTGAGATGTGTACCTATTAAAATAAATAATAAAAAAAAATCGATATTTTTAGACCGCTACACTGTTCTACCACCTTAATTAAAATGACATTATAAACTTGACAATTATATTTTTTATTCCTACAATTACATATTCTACTCTGAAGTTGACATTTTCTATCATGAAATTGACACCTACTATTTCAAAATGTTATTATCGCCGTTGACGTTGATGGTTTTAACCTCAAAACGATATTTTTTACTTTTAAAATGACAATATTTAGTTCAAAACGGCATTTATTGTTGTGAAGTTAACATCTTGAACTTCAAAATGATATGTATTATTTACAAAATAACAAAAATCGTTGGAGAGGTGAGATTTTAATTATTTTATTATACGATGGAGGATTCAAAACGAAATTTTTAGTGTCAAATTGTCATTTTGAACTTCAAAAAGATATTCGGTATTCTCAAATTGATGTAATAAACGTCAAAATTACATTTCTTACTACAAAACTGACATTTTCAACTTTAAGATGTCATTTTTTATTCACAAAATGACATTATCGATTTCAAAACGACAACTTCTTTTGGAAAGATGAACACCAAAATGACTTCAACATTTGAAATTTCAAAATGGAGGTCTAAATAACATTGTCATCTTTGACATTGACGTTCTAAACTTCAAAATGACAATTTCTATTATAAAGTTGACATCATCAACTTCAAAAACAGTTTGGCATTGATATTTTAAAATATATGGACTTTAAAACGACATTAATTATCGTGAAGTTGACTTTTTTAACTTCAAAGTGACAACGTCATTTTTGACATTGACGTTTTAAGCATCAAAATAACATTTCTTATTCTCAATCAGACTACATGAACCTCAAAATAACATTTTTTCTAGTCAAGTTGACATTTTCAACTCCAAAATGACATTTCCTATTATGAAGTTGTCATCTTAAACTTCAAAAAGATATGAAATTGTTGTTTTAAACTTTAAAACGATATTTCCTACTTTTAAAACGTCATTATAAACTTTAAAACGACATTTTTTATTATGAAGTTGACATCTTAAACTTTAAAATGACATTGTCATATTTGACATTGACGTTTTAAACATCAAAATGACATTTCTTATTCTCAAGCAGACTTCATGAACCTCAAAATAACATTTTTTCTAATCAAGTTGACATGTTCAACTTCAAAATGACATTTCGTATTATGAAGTTGTCACCATTAAACTTCAAAATGATGTGAAATTGTTGTTTTAAACGTTAAAACGATATTTCCTACTTTTAAAACGTCATTATCAACTTTAAAACGATGTTTTTTATTATGAAGTTGATATCTTAAACTTTAAAATGACATTGTCACATTTGACATTGATGTTTTAAGCATCAAAATGACATTTCTTATTCTCAAGGTCACTTCATGAACCTCAAAATAACATTTTTTCTAATCAAGTTGACATTTTCAACTCCAAAATGACATTTCCTATTATGAAGTTGTCATCTTAAACTTCAAAATGATGTGAAATTGTTGTTTTAAACTTTAAAATGATATTTCCTACTTTTAAAACGCCATTATCAACTTTAAAACGACATTTTTTATTATGAAGTTGACATCTTAAACTTTAAAATGACATTGTCACATTTGACATTGACGTTTTAAACATCAAAATGACATTTCTTATTCTCAAGGTCACTTCATGAACCTCAAAATAACATTTTTTCTAATCAAGTTGACATTTTCAACTCCAAAATGACATTTCCTATTATGAAGTTGTCATCTTAAACTTTAAAATGATGTGAAATTGTTGTTTTAAACTTTAAAATGATATTTCCTACTTTCAAAACGTCATTATTACCTTTAAAACAAAATTTTTTATTATGAAGTTGACATCTTAAACTTTAAAATGACATTGTCATATTTGACATTGACATTTTAAGCATCAAAATGACATTTCTTATTCTCAATGTCACGTCATGAACCTCAAAATAACATTTTTTCTAATCAAGTTGACATTTTCAACTCCAAAATGACATTTCCTATTATGAAGTTGTTATCTTAAACTTCAAAATGATGTGAAATTGTTGTCTTAAACTTTAAAATGAAATTTCCCACTTTTAAAACGTCATTATCACCTTTAAAACGACATTTTTTATTATGAAGTTGACATCTTAACCTTTAAAATGATATTGACACATTTGATATTGACGTTTTAAACATCAAAATAACATTTCTTATTCTCAAACAGATTTCATGAACCTCAAAATAACATTTTTTCTAATCAAGTTGACATTTTCAACTACAAAATGACATTTCCTATTATGAAGTTGTCATCTTAAACTTCACAACGATGTGAAATTGTTGTTTTAAACATTAAAATGATATTTCCTACTTTTAAAACGTCATTATGAACTTTAAAACAAAATTTTTTATTATGAAGTTGACATCTTAAACTTTAAAATGACATTGTCATATTTGACATTGAC